AGTAGTAGTAGTAGTAGTAGTAGTAGTAGTAGTAGTAGTAGTAGTAGTAGTAGTAGTAGTAGTAGTAGTAGTAGTAGTAGTAGTAGTAGTAGTAGTAGTAGTAGTAGTAGTAGTAGTAGTAGTAGTAGTAGTAGTAGTGGGATATAGGGGTGTCCAGCTGTGGGTCAAGGTGATGGTCTTAGTAGGTCGCTCGCTTGCTTGCGGGTGTAGACTACGCCTAGCGTCCATTTGTTGGCACAAAACCCTCACATGTGGCTTCCCGAGACTAGGCTATGCCTATCGACCACGCCCCGGTAACCGCCTCGATCGGCGGGCTAAGCCAGGTGTGGATATCCGTGTGGGCATCTCCGCATACGGAAACTCGGCTCCGCCGGCCGGATGGACCACCGCCTCGGCATCTCCGAGACGAGACTTCGTCTGCAACACCGCAGGACACCACAAGGCAAGTGCCGATGACCAGTCCTGACGAGGAGAGGAACATATTCTACGAGGACCTGCACGCCCTCCTGGAGAGAGTGCCGAAGCCGGATAAGTGGATTGTCCTTGGTGACTTGAACGCCCACGTCGGCAAAGACCCTGCTGCTTGGAGAGGAGTGCTGGGTCTCCATGGTCTTGACGGCTCTAGTGACAATGGTCTGACCCCCTTAAGAACCTGTGCAGAGTACCGGCTCATCCTGGCGAATACCTAATTCCGCCTCGCGATGCGAGAGAATGCCACCTGGATGCACCCTCAGTCGCGACTCTGGCACCTGGCACCAGTCGCCGCCGCCGACGAGAACGTCCCCCTGAGAACCGATGGCGCCAACTGCGAGATACAGTCCAGTCGACAGCTCTCGCTGTCCTCAGTCGCCCACGTCGCTAACATCAGGACTGGTTCGATGAGAACGACGCCACCATCCGCAACCTGCTCAGCGAGAAGAACCGCCTGCACAAGGCCTACGTCAATCGCCCTACCGACGACAACAAAGTAGCCTTCTACCCTAGTCGCAGCCTTGTGCAACAGCGACTGCGCAAAATGCAGGACGCTTGGATGGCTCGCAAGGCCGAGGAGATCCAAGGGTACGCGGACCGAAACGAATGAAAAAACTTCTCCGCGATCAAGGCAGTCCGCGGTCCGCCAGTCAAAGGGACTGCTGCTCTTCTCAGCGCCGACGCCATATCCTACTTACCGAGAAGACACAAATTCTACAGCGACGAGTCGAGCACATCCGAGGCGTCCTCAATCGTCCCTCCACCATCCCCGACGCAGACATCGCCCGTCTGCCTCAAGTGGAGACTAACGTCAACCTCGACCTCCAGCCTTCTCTCCATGAAACCATCAGGGCCGCGCATCAGCTCTCCAGCGGGAAAGCACCCGGATCTCACGCGATCCCTGCTAAGGCCTACAAGCACGGCGGCCCCCAAATCATGGATCACCTGACTGCGCTCTTCCAGGAGATGTGGCGTCAAGGAGAAGTCTCTCAGGATTTCAAAGAGGCCACAGTCGTGCATCTATACAAGCGGAGAGGAAACCGCCAAATATGCGACAACCACCAAGGCATTTCGTTGCCGAACATCACAGGGAAGATCTTCGCTCGCATCCCCCTCAACCGCCTGAACACTCATCTGAAATAGGGTCTCCTGCCGGAAAGTCAGTGCGGCTTCCGCCGTCATCGTGGGACCACGAACATGATCTTCGCCGCCCGCCAACTGCAGGAGAAGTGTCAGGAGATGCGGACCCATCTGTACTCTACCTTCGTGGACAAAAGCCTTCGACACGGTGAATCGTGAAGGACTGTGGAAAAATATGCAGAAATTCGGCTGTCACGAACAATTCGCTCAGATGGTGCGTCAACTCGACGGTGGCATGATGACGCGCTTCGCAGACAATGGATTTGTCTCAGAGGCATTCACAGCGACCAACGGAGTGAAGCAGGGCTGCGTTTTCAGTCTCATGTTCTCTGCCATGCTGATGGACGCCTGCCGTGACGAACGCCCCGGGATCCGCGTCGCTTAAAGGACGGACGGCCACCTTCTCAACCACCGGGGGATCCAGTTCAAGTCGCATGTATCCACAACTGCCGTTCATGAACTTCTCTTCGCTGACGACTGCGTCCTCAACACCACCTCGAAAGGGGACATGCAAAGAAGCATGGATCTCTTCTTCGCCTCCTGCGACAACTTTGGCCTGATCATGAACACGGAGAAGACGGTGGTCATGCATCAACCGCCACCCGACGCTGTCTACGTCGCACCTCAAAGCAACGTGAACGGCGTCCAACTGCAAGTCGTGGAAAACTTCACCTACCTGGGACAGCACGCTCTCCCGTAACACCAAAGTCGACGATGAAGTGGCTCATCGGATTTCCAAAGCCAGCTAAGCCTTCGGCCGTCTGCAGAAGACCGTCTGGAACCGTCACGGCCTCCGTCTCAACACCCAGCTCAAGATGTGTAGGGCAGTCATTCTGCGACCCTGCTGTATGGAGCGGAGACCTGGACGATCTACAAGAAGCAGGCGCGAAGACTCAATCACTTCCACCTCAGCTGTCCTCGATAGGCATTGAAGCTGAGACGGTGGAACCAAACCCCGGACACAGATGTACTGAAAAGGACAAGAATCCTCAGCGTCTACGCCATGCTGAGACAACTGCAACTACGCTGGGTCTGCTACCTCGTACGGATGGACGACGAGAGGCTGCTCAAATGACTCTTCCATGAGATGTTGCCATGGGTTCCCGCCGCCAAGGAGGCCGAGTCTGTGGATACAAGGACACTCTGAAGACTTCCCTGAAACGTCTGCAGATCAACCCGTCCAGCTGGGAGCGGATATGCAGCCCTGGTTCACCAATTTATCACCGTGAATGCTTCAAGGACTGTCCATGACGTTCGCCATCACCCGCGCGTGTAACTGTTCTGCCATTTGTGTGAATCATTCCAGACCCTCACTTTTCAGCATCGCGATTCACTGTGCCGAGGGCTTTCGTCGGACCCACCACCCGCACTCCCTGTCACCTCTCCTGCATTTGGCGAGCGCGAAGGTCGTGTCCATGGTTTCACTGTTCCTTCAAAGTTCAGGCTGACTCTTAGGGAGAATTCCTTGCTCCGGATGCGTGCTCTATCTGGTGGGTGGGATGCAGACGAAGATGTTGTCTGTGGCGTTGTCATAGAGGCATCAAAATACACGGTACACCGAACTACAGCGTGCAGCACAGCCAGTGTTACAGATGCAGGCTGAGGGGTTGGTTCCACGGCTATCCTTGATCCTTCGTCACTCACCGTTGAAGAATTAGTTGCAGCAGGTGCTAAACTGAGCATAGAGACTAAATGAAAATGCAAGGAATAAAAGCATACGCTTACCGATTTCTGCCCTAAGAAGGCAGGATTACTTACAGATTTACTCCCTCTTCCCAGCCCTCCCGCCGATCGCATGCCGAAATCACGTCATAGACCCTTTTTTGAAATTCGCCGAACCATGCCTCGGCCAGCTGTTTCTGTGCTGTGCTCGAAGAATCAACGGAACTGGGTGAAGTTGTAAGTGATTGGGCTCCCCGAACCTTGAGTACCACCCACTCCTCAAGTTACTCTCGCAGAAAGCCATTGGGTGTCATGTTGGTCAGATGTGGTTATGTAGCCCCACCTGAGTCAAACAAACACCAGCTACCTGTAATACGGGACCGGCGGTAATAGGTGTTTTTACAGGCGGGGCCGGGGAACGCACAGACGACGAGGTCAGGTAATTGTATGCAAAAGCAAAGCTATTGAGAATGCGCGATTGTACTTCGAGTGGTGGAGCAATGGTTGCCCTAACCGCTAACTCTCACCCCTTAACCTTGATCCCTAACCCTAGCCACTAACATTATCGTGTCCATCGGGCGCGACTGCATAACCATAATCATGTTCTCCTTTTACAGAGTGGGCTGGTGGAGACAGTATCATCCTGAAGACTGAGCCAGGACATGTCAGTAATCAGTACCAGCACCTTTACCTCAATTACATCTGATCATATTTGTTCGATCAAAGTTTATTGTTATGTTACAACCCATCGTGAATTGCCCGAACTATGGGTCGGTTTGCCATCCATAGACGGTGCCTCCTCATGACTGTACTCTACACTTCTGAGGCAAACGTCTACTCCTTGTATTCCTGTGATTTATGAAAGCACCTAAAAAGTGAGGACCGGCTTTCCTTTCTTTGCCCTTGCAGTATACCATGTAAGGACCAAAGTCTTTCTGTATGAGTGGGAGGAAATGCATCTAAAACTGACCGAGCTTTTGGCGTACCGAGGGCTCATACCGAGTGGCGAAAGCTAATATCAACTTAAACAACGCTATAGGGCAGAAATGACCTAGAAACGGGGAGCGATATTTTTGTTAGCCTGACCTCTGATGGCAACTGGGAGTTTATCACAAACTAGGTCTCGTCGAAGGCAGTCAGCTGCGGATATGCATATGTACCTATCGGTATTAATGACACCGTCCTAAGGTTTGGTTTTCCTACTGGTGCCCATTACTTCTGAGTGTTTGTCTTTATTATTTGTCAACGATTCAGCCTGCGCTCAACTGATCATTGAACGAGGCCACTCGAGGAGGAGTTGCGGCAAATTCAAATCTATGATGACCGAGCGCAGACGGAAATTGCCTGCGTTTGTCGTCTGGATACTGCCACCATAGTGAAGGCCCTTGCCAGAGACGCAAGAGCTGAGGATATTCTGGTCGTTATACGACTTGATTGACGATCAGGGTGGCGTTGGCTGTGCTCTGTCAGTCCGGTCACCCACCAAGCCAATAAAGAAGAAGGAGTGTAAGGAGAAGTTGGATTGACCAATCGCAATGTGACGGCTGCGGGTGTGCGCAAGCGAACGCGTGGCCGCACGGGATGCTGATTGGTGAATCGTATGCTGATAGCGGACAGCTCGACGCACACCGCACCACTGCTCGCAGACATCGTGGCCCCAGCGGGTTGCTGCTGCAGTCTCTCAAGCTCAGGAAGTCCAACCATACAAGCAATCCGGGGACTAGCAAGCCAGCATGGAAGCCAAGCTTTCGGGAGAGACCACCTCTGACACAGGCAGAGAAATGTTATCCAACTTTGTGAAAACCAGTGTAAACAGCCCAGTGGAACGTCAGGTGACCATGACGGGTTCGCCTACAGGAGTGCTGGGAACGGCACTGTTTAAGTACATTGATCCTTCGACACCGCCAGAGGTAAGTAGCTTCGGTGTATACTACTTTATTGAGAAACGAATTTTAACAGCCCCCACCCCGTGGTTCCCATCCCTACTTTCTGGCTCAGTTCTTTATGAAGATTAATTAATTCTGGACGTGGCAGCGTCCAACGAATCAGTGAGTAGGGACTAGAAGAGTATTACAAATACCTAACTGACTCTCCGGCCCTATCGTCGCCGGTCAGTCAGGTGTACAACAGGTCAGTTGGACGGAGGGCTGCTTTCACGCAGCACACGATAGCTAGGCTGCAAGTTCAGGGCTTAGACGTGACCGAGACCACTCACACAGGTAACGTTCGCCGATCGGAGCTGGTTACTCAGTCTCGCAAATAGGTATGGCCTGTAAACTACTGAATCTGTGGAATGATATAGGTACTCCAGGTATTCATGTTCCTACCATCTGAAAAATCAACCTTTCCTTCGAGCGGACGTGATTTTAAGCATTATTCTAACACGGGTTATATAGTTAGAACCTAGAAGGGAATATGAGATTTAGGCCCAAATGAACTTAGCAAGATGATTGCTGGCCATGATCACCGTTTAACAAAGCCGTTTAACTGCCACTTTAAAACTAACCGATGTAAGCACTGCGCACATTTCCCGCTTGCAATGACAGCAACGTGTTCAGTCACATAGGACGGACTCATGTTTGATTACTGTCTTTTATCTGTCTCACTTTTCTTTACTCCAAAAGGCGACCCCACTTGTTTTTTGTCATGCAATTATCCACCATCGAAAAGTTTACTGTGTACTGAGCAAAGGTTCGTCTGATATTTCCTAACCAAACTTATTGGTATATGACTCGACCCCAAGTTAATCACAGCCAACAACCCTCTGGCCAAGATTTTCTACACGCGTAGATTAGCTTTTTTTCTTTGAAGGATTTCTCTGATCCTCTCCCGATGCATGTGCTACATTCATATGCGTCTGGTTGCCTTGAGAGACTACCCCCACCCTTAGGCCATAGTTGGTGACTTCCAATGAAGCGAATGGTGCATTTTTACCACCCTAAAATAAAAAAATCTCAGGACAGAACCACTTTCGACTGGTTCATTTGCTAACACATTTTTACTTCCCATAAGAGTGCGAACTCAGATTTTTAGAGGATGAGCCTGGAACACTAAGCAAATAAACTTATTGATACAGCGACCATCCAGCTATGTCCATCGCTGATACTACTGCTCCATTTGAGTTGGTTATGCCAGCATTTGTTTTATCCACAACACAGGACTACATTGCGACCGAGCTCGATCATGAAAGTGAGTTAGGGGGCGAATACGACACAGCTACCCCCGCCATAGCAGTCAATTGTACTACAATCCTTCTCACCAGATGGCAAGAAAGATCAATTATTGTACGCGCGCCGTATGAAGTGTGGGAAGTAAGTGCACGAGACTGTTGCTAAGACTCCTAACTCTAATTGTTTGCATTTGGTAGTTCGCTACGCTGGCCCCCTTCCCCCTTCCCTTAGGGCTAGAGAGTTACGAAACCAAACAGTCTTCCAGCTCGGGTCCACCTGGTAGACAACTGATTGTATATCAGGCGGAGGGACTCGAATGACAGTCGCGAGCGAAACGTTGGTGATGCTTGGCTGAATGCAGGCAGCGATTCGTAGTGGCTGACCAGCCTGAGGCGCTTATCAGTGGCCGCACTTTAAATTGAATGCGCCGCATTTTTACGATGACGAGGATGAGGGGATCGAATACCAGAAATCATAATTAAATAGTGACTTCCAGTTATCTTCCGTTCCCCTCTTCCTCTAAGCCTGGTTGATGGTTTGGTACATGCATTAGTATATGCAGCCTGGATGTTTGCGGCTCCATAACTGCTGATGAAGTGTCTTCGTTTTAGGAAGCAACTCGGAAAAGTCTACAAAACGTTTTCATCTGCCCAAAGTATTAGAAATTACGGGCGGTACGTAATAGGAGTACATATTTTCATATGGATGATGCACTATGGCAGATAAGGGTTCTGTCATCTTCCTTCGGCTTATCCACGAAAATAAGATCCGCGAACTTGGGTTGGGGAGGGGAATAGGGACGCCCGTGCTACAGGTGGTCTTGCGCTACATTTCAGGCAGGCTGCCTGTTCCCATTTCCCCCTAATCTAACTCTAACACCAACCTTAACCCTAGCCCTGGCCGTAACACTAACTCTCCTAGTCCTAAGCCCGCTGGAATTTAACGTAAGGTCGCCTGTAATACTTGGAGTCCCTATTCTCGTGCCCTAGTCGAGTTTGAACGCCAGCCTTGAAATTCTTGATGCCAGTTTCCCTGGAGGTCGAATTCGCGCCGATATGCGGGACTGAATTTTTCTGGGGCGGCGCAATCAGCTGCAGATTTAGTTTTTTGAGGGTCTTAGTTCTGATATTGTCACCAGGTTATCTTTAGTATGAGCGTTTCAACCGTCACTATCGCTAAATCCCCCCTTGAGTTCATGCCTGCACGCCCTCTCCCCCCACAAGTCAAACGCGCGAGGGCAGTCGCTGTTTGGTTCTTATCCAGGGCGGTGGCTTGTACCGTTGTTACTCCAGGCTTCTCGCTCAGTGACAGCATCCCAGCTGTCTTGCCCCCCGCCTCGACGACTACTGGCTCCCGCCCACGCATTCGTTTTCGTCACATTTTTATCGGTCGGGCACAGATACTTTTACCCCACCCCTGGATCTACCTCGCAAGGCCACCTGCAATACGGGAATGGTGGTAATAGGGGAACGTCTAGCAACAGAAACGCGTATTCTTACGGGCAAGATTCCATTTCGTAGCCGTACCTGGTAGGGAATAGGGGATGGGGTTAGGGGTTAGGCTGGGACTTGTCCACTGCAGGTACGGCTGCGAAATGAGATCCGAACTTCTCACATATATAAGAAAAAAATCGTACATGCACGGCGTGTTTGCTTCAGCGCATAAAAGGGCACTTCAGGGGGGGAGGTGTGGGGCACATATATCCGCGTCCTACCTTCTTATCGGCCTCTTTCATGTACTCACTCCTGCAGCATCATTACCTCAGGAAGGAGGGGTTTCAAGAAGGGGCCCTATTGGCTGGCAAGGCGAACAGAGACGACAGGGAATCATGATAAGAGAAGTGCCCGTAAAGGCGAAGCTTTTCCCGCCATCTTGCAGTGTAGTTGGTACATCATCTGTGCATCTGTGTACATCTGTGCATCCAGAAAAGTAAAACCGCCAGTGCGACCAGGTGTGTTTTGGAATACTTGCAGGCATTTGGCGCTTGGACCAGAGACGACTCTCTGGATTATACTGAGACTGTTTATGCGTTTTTCGCTGCTCAGCTGCAGGCGTTAGTCGGTGATAGGGCCTATTAAAAAGGGCAGTAACTCAGCGATTGTCGGCCCAACTTTGGTAAGGGAACTTTTTATGTCTGTGTCAGAATTTAAAGTGGTCGGAGGGAAAGAAACTTGGTTTGGTGTCAATCTGGCCCTTGCTCTCGTCATGGGCCAATTGTGGGAAAGTTTCCTACCGTACCTGAAGGGTTCCGTTTCTGATGGCTGCGACTGCTGGAGTCCCTGCTTGTCCCTGGCCCTCTTCCTATCGGACTTCGTCCCTGTATACGACTTCTCATAGTACGACAAGTGAGTAGACTACACCTTGTTTGGTTTCCGGGGAAATTAATACTCGAACTTGGAGTAAATCCTACGGAACCGACCTTTTCAGGCACGGTCCGAAGTTTGATATGAATATTTGAGCTGAAATCCATCAGCTACTGCGGAATAACCGCGTAATATTCACAAACCGCCAACGGGCAGTCAGTAGTATAGAATTGTATAGTGATTTACCGTACTAACAACACAGGTATCAGCCAAAAGTCCAGACACGCGTGTTTCGCCGATCTTGTGCCGCTGCCCGACGCAGCTGCGAAGGGTTCGACTCATCAGTGGGTCTCCCACCTTTCCCCGTGTGTTTTCTGCTATATGAACTCCAGTCTCAACTTGCGTCAGGCAGCTGCACAAGATCGGCGAAACACGCGTGTCTGGACTTTTGGCTGATACCTGTGTTGTTAGTACGGTAAATCAGTACACAAGAGTAGACTATGTCAGGCACTGGTAAACAGTACCTGGGGAACTCGGAAACGTGGGTCTGAACAGCATAGAAAAACCAGAAATATCCGATGTTCTAACATCCGTAACACAGTGTCCGATCGGAGAACACTTGAAACCATTGAGTTCTTCAGTCATGCAGGTATGCAGCAAGCGATTTTCTCAGTTCCAGCTGCCAGCGGACTATGTTGTCTTAGAATGACGGCAAGCACAAAGAACATCTCTTGGGTGCTAGAGGTGCTTGGAGGTACTGGCTAGTGTTCACAAGTAATGAGATGTTTTGCGATTTCCGTTGATTTTTCAACAAGCTCTAGTACACTGTAAAATACTCTGTGGTGTTGTGTATATTCGGACGTCTAGCCAAGAGAACTGCGTATAAACTCGGCAAACTGGAACTGTATGAATAGTAAGGCAGGAAGGCCTCGGCTGTTACTGCAAAAGAGACGTTGCTCCACAGTTCGAAGTAGTAGCAGTGCCCATAGGCCTGTTAGATTGACCTGAAATAAGCCAACTCTTCCCCAAGTTGCTAAGCGACGCAATCATGTCGGTGGATGATGATGGTAGTCCGCTTTTGGGTTAGTACCCGTGATGAAACAGCCAATCGCGAGACAAAGCATAGTTCTGACCGCGGGTATTCCTGACTTGACCGACGAGCAGGCTAAAACGGAAGAGGCCGAAACAACACTAAATACTGCATAACTTTGTGCCAAGTAGCAAAAAATCC